ATATCTCAGTGAATAAGCATGGGGCAAGGACCTCTGAATTTTTACTGAAATAGAATTGCCTGAGGACATGATAGGTTTTACCTGCAGACAGTAAGGGAAGAGAATTGTGGAGACACCAGGGTTTCCCACACCTAACAGATTTTTAGAATTCTGAGAGTCGGGATCTTAAATGCCCCCACTTAGCTGGTCTCCGGGATTGTACCCTGGGCTCACAGATGGACGGGAAAGGTGTTATATGGTGAAGCAGGGTCTTAGGACAGCCAGTTGCTGAGGCCATGGTCTGGACTTCCTGTAGTGGAAATACAAAAAAGTAAAAGGATTTGATTTTCCATTTCTTTGGTCCTAGAGTCCCCAACTTCTTGGAGTTGAGGTCTCAGGCTGTGGCATGGTGCTGCTGACTGCTACCTAAAAGCTGTGGAAACACCTAAAAGGTGTTTCTTTCCTCTCCCTAGAGGAGTCAGGTGCCCTTCTGAAATGTTCATCTGCGGGAGGGGGGATTATCTAGCGGGCTCTTCCAGATGTTCCCCATCTGCTGTAGCATCTTCTTGGATTTCAAGGTGGTAAAGCTCAGAGTTAAGACCACAGGCTCTAAAAACATGCCTGGATCTGATATTTCTGAGCTCCATGACCCTGGGCAACTCATACCTCTGAGCCTCAGTTTCCTTATCTGCAGAATAGAGGTAATAATAGTATCTCTCTTGGGGTATTGCCAGAATTAAATGCTATAAGGTAAATCAAGTGTTTAGTAGAGTGCTTGGCACATAGGAAAGTCTTAAGAAATTATTATTACTATCGGTCAAAGGACAGAAGGGGTGAGAGCAGAGGTTGCTGATCCAAGAGCACTCACTGAGGTTGTGTTTGATGTAGTAGATACTTAATTCCGCATGGGTGTTCTGACAGTGATTTTATGTTTCACTTTGGTAGGTAAATGGTACTTATATTCAACATTAGCACAAATAGATTGGTTTTGGTCTTTCTGTCACACAGTCTGGAAAGAAGTGTGTTGCAAGAGCTATAAACTACTACAACCTCAAAAAAATTATCCTAAATCATTTTTTAAATAGTTAAAAAAAAAAAAAGAAAAAGCTAGATAGTAAGTAAATAGTAAGAGAATGGCTAAGTACTTTATAGCATGTCAATGACCGAGTATTACCTAACCATTCAAAATGAACCATATATGGGAATTAGAAATGTATCGATGGAATAATGTCAGTTGAAAAAGAATAGTCCAAAATATCAATTGATTACAGTTTTGTTAACAAAGAATGAGAAAATTTAGAGGAACGGGGTCTTTTTCTCTAAAATTGCTTCAGTCTACAAAATAGTTTAACAGTAAGTAAAAAACACAATGTTCTATAAACTCTTTCTGGGCAGGGCAAATGGAACTTAAATAATTATAGGAATCTATCTAAGGCAGTCTCTTGGCCAAAACAGAAAAAATGAGTAAGCCCCAAGTAGGTGAGGGCTTGTATCAGAACGATTGTGATATAAATCTGGAGCACTTTACTCAGAGACATTCCACCTGCACACCAACATCTTTTCACAAGAAACTAAGACTCTGTTTTCTCCTATCACAAGCCCACTCACCTCTCTGCCAAGACAAAACCCTGTAAGTCATCTGCAGGCAGGTCTTCACAGACCAGGAAACATAGCTTGAATAGGAATAGGATCTTTCTGAAAAATCTCCTCACCCTGCTCTACCAGGGACGTCAGCTCTACCCATTTTCTAAACTTTAGCTGACAATAACTATGTATAGTGCCAGGTGGGTACTAGACTAATCAGGGGACCACTTCGTAAGTTATATAAATGTCTAACCATTCTGCTGTACACCTGAAACTAACATAAAATAATTTTGAATGTCAACTCTAATGGGAGGGGGAGGTGGGGAACTTAGCAGAGTGAAATGCGAAGTCCCCCTCCTGAGAGAAGCTCTGATCGTTCTGACCCTGGTCCCTACAGAGCCTTTCTCACTTGCACTAGTGACTGGCAAGCTAATTCTCTGAAGCTCAGGGGACAAAGGTGCAGATCTCTTTGTGGGATGTCTTGAAATTGTGATAGATTTAATTCAGTCTGAACAACATGGAACAGTTCCACGAGTAGAAAATACTTCCTTAATTTGTTCATTACAATACAAAATCGCACACAGAAAATTTAAATGTAAAGGGCTATCTTCAAGTTGTGATGAATATTCTCTTACATGGAACTTGTTCTTTCAATTGGTCATTTAAGCAGAATTTATGGAACTAAAATGTAAAACAAAGAAAAAGCCTTACCCATTGACTTAATTTTTTCCTGTAAGTTTAGCAGCAGAACGTGCCATCAGGGTCACTGACCAGAATTCTCTGGAAAGGGGATTTTACAATCACGGGTCTGACCCATTCATTTTGTCCTTAATGGCGCCCTTCCTTGTGATTTATCTTTGTTTACTTGTATTATTTTTAATTCTAAGTTTAGCAAAATAAAATTTCTCTTCGTTATCAAGGCTTATCTCTCCACCAGAACTAAGGAAGATTTCTGTGAATCCTTCCCCATACCCTCCTCTGCCAACTTGAGCCAGAGATAGCAAATAAATGGAGGAAGACTGCAGAAAAATCCAAAACTGTAGTAGTAAAAATCAGAGTCTTATTTTAGTTTTGAAAACCTCTGCCAAAAAAGAAATTACTAAGCAAAACATTTCTGAAGGACAGAAAGAACTATGGATTTGAAGTGAGAAGACTTGGTTCTAGTCTCAGCATTACCTCCAACTAATTTTGCCCTGCAAGCTGGTAACTGATAACTTCTCTAACTTATAACCTTGTAGATCAGCAAAGAGATAGGATGAGCTGACTTTTAAGTTCCAGTCCTAACCTTCAGGGATTCTAATTCCTGCACTTCCTAATTTCCTGGCTCCAAATCTTGGTCACAGTACACCCCATTTCCTGCCTTCCTGAGAAGCGACTGGGTCCCTGCACACAACGCATAGGCCCATTCCTTGGGTAGCCATTAACCCTGACCTTGGCAAGTCACCTCACCTCTCTGGGTCTTCTCTGGCCAGTCAGGCGTGAGGAGGGTGGAGACGCCTGGCTGCTTCCTGCCTGTCTCTCAGGGGTTGTAAAGGCCAGTCCAATTTTCTAAAGGATGAATTCCTCCAAAGAAGATCCTGCCTGAATGAAATATTTCAATACTCCAGCTGTAATTGTTGCTATAGCATTCAGGAATCATGAGGAATGAGAAGAGAAGGAGCAGGTGTAAGCAAGCCTTGTGTTTATGATAATGGAGTGGAAAGAGGCCTTCGAAGCCATTTAGGGACCCACTTCATTTACAGATGAAGACATGGCAACTGAGAAAGTTTAAGTAGTGAACTCCAGGCCATAAGCCTAATAATGTGGTATGGTTGGAGCTGGAGCCTAGGCCTCCTGGCCCCCAGCCTAGGGTTCTTTTTACTGCATCAAAACAGAGGCCTTGTAACTCACCCTTGGTTTTCAAAACCTTCAACAGGACAGCTCTGGGAACCGAACATGTATGCAAGGTCTAGTCTAATTTAAGAAAGAAAAATTACCCTGTAAAGTTATTCAGTGTAGGCAACCTATAAACACTGGTCAGGCAAAAATACCCAACAATCAGATAATCCTCAAAAATCTGCTCCCCTGCCCCAATTTCTACTTTATCAGAGGACATGAGTCAGTCTGCTTTGAAACAACATGGCAGGTGTCATCGGTACAAAGGAGCAGAGAGAAACCCCGAAATCCCATTCCAGATAGCCAACGTTAGTCTGGCTTTCTTCTCCCAGGTCAGATGCTTGGAATAACAGCCAGAAATGTCTCACTGATGAGAAAAGCCTGAGATTCAGCTTAGAGATGGAGGGAGAATGGTCTGCCATCTTCGCCTCCCACCTTGTTCATGATCCCGTTCAACCAGATTTCCAGATTTGTGATCTCTAATTCTTCTCATCATGACATCTGTTATAATTTTATTTATTCAACACATATTAATTAAGCACTAACGATATGTAGGGTCCTGTAGTAGGCACGAGAGAGCCAGAGAGGACTTAGGATTTCAGAAGCTTTGTGTATTGGGGGTCCAGGATTCCTTCCTATGATGGTGTACAAAGTTTTGTGGCATGTATAAGCATGCATTTTTCTTGGGAAGGGATCCTTAATTTTTATCACCATCTGTTGCCCAGTAACAGTTAAGAACCACCAGTGTGTGGACACTAGAACTTTACTTCATACATCTACTGTCCTGGTCAGTGTCCTTATCCTAGCCATTGAGTTGAGACTGCAGGGGCTGACTGAGTGCGAACCAGTGAGGCACGTCTGCCCAGGGCTCTGCTATTTCCTGTAGAGCCTCAGGAAGCTGTGTGTGCGCCCACCCACGTCCAGGCCCCACACCCGCGGGTTCTGCCTTCACCGTTGATGCCCACTGTGTGTCCCAGCTTAGCAGCTGTAACCCTGGATCTCAGGGAACCCTGGAGGGGCCATGCTGGTACACGGACGGTTGCCGGGCCACTCCTGGCTCTCAAGGACCCTTTCATTCAGCCCTTGCCAGTCACTCTGATCTTAGTGATCCTGCTGCAGGTCAGGTTCGAGAATTTCCTATTTATTCTCTTGAGAGTCCTGCCCGGCCCACTGCCCTGAAGAACCTTTGGCCTCTGAGTAACTGCCTGAGGATCACTTGGGCTATGTAGTTATCCCACTGTGTTCAAGTGACACCTGGTGTCCCCTCTGCTAGTCCTGCGGAAGTCGTTTTGAAGAAGGATGGCCTGGTAAATACCTCCTGTGAAAACCGTGGTGTTAGTTTAGTATACCATTTGATACTGAAATTCAAAATGTCATCATTGCTAGTTGGTGGAAGAGAAGCGGATGTCAAGACTAACCATAGCCAGAACCGGGTTTCAGGGATGCAGACGTTGCAAAATAAACCCTTTCTCTTTGCCTGTTGTATATGAGTATGCATGAGTGTTTGATAGACTCACTTGCAGCAGATGATGTGCTGAGTTCCATTCTTTCTTCCTTTGTAGAGAGAAGACACGGTTCAATGTGCAGACCTTCTCCCTCGCCAGCGTCTCCACCCTCCAATTCCAGGACAGCACTAGTACAGGTGAAAACAAAAGCCTGTCTCAGCGGCCATAACTCTGCCAGCAGCACCTCAAAGCCATTCAAAACGCCCAAAGACAATCTACTTACCTCCAGCAGCAAACAGCACACAGTCTTTTCTGCAAAAGGATCAAGGGACAAACCATGGTGAGTGTTGGGTGCTGGCAGCCAGCAGCTGTCTGTCCTCTCTGCTTGTCCCTGTCACCATGGGAAACGGTGTTTACCCTCTGTCTTTGTTCTTGGGCATCATGTCCAGGATTTGAGGGAACTGAAGAGGGAAGGGACAGAAAACCAAAATGATGGGGTGAGAAACCTAAACACTAGAGAGAACACAGGACCTTAAAGTGCCATATGCCTGACAGGAGAATTTTTCTGTTCCTGAGAACTGAGCCAAGTAGTGTCTAGGAAAAGAGTGACAGGGAAATATTCTTCAGTTATACGGTCACCTCTCAATTTTCTGCCCCAGTGAAAAGAAGCATTGGTGTAAATAATGAAAAGCACAGTCAGTCTGCCCAGCAGGGAGCAAAGCTGGGAGTGGGAGGAGGGGAAGTCCAGCAGCCCCGGGAGGCAGGCCCCTCACAGAGCCTTCCTGCCCTTAGCAGCTGGGTCTCTGCTCCATGGAACAGCTTCCAGCAGAGGCAGGTAATTGGAGCTGACCTCTGTAGGAAAAGAGGAAAAGAAATGTCCCCCCTTTGGTGGGATGAGGAAGAGCTGATTGCAGGTGACTGAAAAATCAGAGGCTTTTAATTCATTTTTTAAAAATCTCAGTCTTTACCAAAAAGTCAAAAAAGTTTACCTGTGGAATGGACAGATACGAAACCAAAATAAAAACAAAGACAAGAAGCAGAAGATGAGTACAGGCGTACCTCAGACATATTGTGGGCTCGGTTCCAGACCACCGCAATAAAACGAGTTGTAATTGTTTTGCTGGTGGAGGGTGTTGTCTTCAATTTGTAAAAAACACATCTGTGAGGGTCAGTAAAGCAAAGCACAATAAAGGGGATGTTAGACTAACCATAGCCAGAACCGGGTTTCAGGGATGCAGACGTTGCAAAATAAACCCTTTCTCTTTGCCTGTTGTATATGAGTATGCATGAGTGTTTGATAGACTTGCAGCAGATGATGTGCTGAGTTCCATTCTTTCTTCCTTTGTAGAGAGAAGACACGGTTCAATGTGCAGACCTTCTCCCTCGCCAGCGTCTCCACCCTCCAATTCCAGGACAGCACTAGTACAGGTGAAAACAAAAGCCTGTCTCAGCGGCCATAACTCTGCCAGCAGCACCTCAAAGCCATTCAAAACGCCCAAAGACAATCTACTTACCTCCAGCAGCAAACAGCACACAGTCTTTTCTGCAAAAGGATCAAGGGACAAACCATGGTGAGTGTTGGGTGCTGGCAGCCAGCAGCTGTCTGTCCTCTCTGCTTGTCCCTGTCACCATGGGAAACGGTGTTTACCCTCTGTCTTTGTTCTTGGGCATCATGTCCAGGATTTGAGGGAACTGAAGAGGGAAGGGACAGAAAACCAAAATGATGGGGTGAGAAACCTAAACACTAGAGAGAACACAGGACCTTAAAGTGCCATATGCCTGACAGGAGAATTTTTCTGTTCCTGAGAACTGAGCCAAGTAGTGTCTAGGAAAAGAGTGACAGGGAAATATTCTTCAGTTATACGGTCACCTCTCAATTTTCTGCCCCAGTGAAAAGAAGCATTGGTGTAAATAATGAAAAGCACAGTCAGTCTGCCCAGCAGGGAGCAAAGCTGGGAGTGGGGGGAGGGGAAGTCCAGCAGCCCCGGGAGGCAGGCCCCTCACAGAGCCTTCCTGCCCTTAGCAGCTGGGTCTCTGCTCCATGGAACAGCTTCCAGCAGAGGCAGGTAATTGGAGCTGACCTCTGTAGGAAAAGAGGAAAAGAAATGTCCCCCCTTTGGTGGGATGAGGAAGAGCTGATTGCAGGTGACTGAAAAATCAGAGGCTTTTAATTCATTTTTTAAAAATCTCAGTCTTTACCAAAAAGTCAAAAAAGTTTACCTGTGGAATGGACAGATACGAAACCAAAATAAAAACAAAGACAAGAAGCAGAAGATGAGTACAGGCGTACCTCAGACATATTGTGGGCTCGGTTCCAGACCACCGCAATAAAACGAGTTGTAATTGTTTTGCTGGTGGAGGGTGTTGTCTTCAATTTGTAAAAAACACATCTGTGAGGGTCAGTAAAGCAAAGCACAATAAAATGAGGCATGCCCGTAACTTCAAACGCTCACTGACCCAACTTAGAACACTTAAGGACTGGCTTATTGCAGAGCCTCTAGCTTTATCTTTCAGACCTCATGAAGGCAGACAAGGGATAAGTGTGGAGTCTGTCTGATTTATATATTTAAAGTGAAAAAGTGACCTGTTAATTAGTGATAGTTAATTACACTTAAGTTCATACCTAGGAAAGCTCTGGACTAAAATCATTCATCAATTTGTTTGTCACTGCACACTGGAAATTATGATGACTTTGTAAAGAGCTAATTATGCCAGATCAAGTAAAGAGCCTCGTGAAGGAGTGAGTAGAAGGGTTTAGCCACAGCTGTCAAGGAGGGGAATTAACCGTCATGCAGGTGGGTCTTGTGGACAAGCTTTGTTCTCTCCTGATCCTTAGGATCTCAAGTCCATCCTGTAAGAGAAGGTACCTGGCTAGGAAAGACCCAGCCTGAGAGTGACAGTAGTGGCTCTGGGCCTCTGGGAGTGTGAGGCTCTGGGCATCTGGGAGTGTGAGTCTCTTTCTTATCAGTGATCTTGGAAAGCAACTGAAGGTTGTTTGTTGAGGCAGCATCAGGTATCCTGATGTAAGCACAAGCCCGGGAATCATTGCCTATGTACACATGTCAGCTGGGTGACTTTGGGCAAGTTGCTCAATCTTGATATGCTCATCTGTAAAATGGGGCTAATAATAGCTCTACCCCATGGGATTGTTGTGAGGATTAAGTTGTCAATGTAGACGGGGGCATTGAAGCCCTGGGTATAGATGGGGCCTCCAGGGAAGGTACGAGACTTGAGAAGAGCAGGAGCCAATGGCAGGGCCCTGGAAAATGGGTGACAAAGGGAAGAGGAACTGAGGAAGCAGAGACTACTAAGCCAAGATTCTTTTCACTGCATCCTGTCTCTTATTTCCTGACCCAAATCCTTACTGCCCATTCCACTGGCCACCTTTTTCTCAAAGCCCTTCTTTCATTCACTTCTTCTTTGCCAGCCACAATATACTGGCATCTTTTGTTACTTCCCTTGGCACTTCATTTTTATCTTACCTGTGATTCTGTGGTGCCATAGATTAGACCTCCTGTACTCCTTCTGCTCAATGGTCATTGCAGGGCCTCCTACACAGTAGGTCCTTACACTCAGCTAACAGAGTCCCCTCGTCAGTAAATATTTGTTGAATTGAATGAAATGGATCTGACTGTTAAAAGGAGTTGTGAGATTTTCATTCCTAGAGACAGTTAACCTGACATGTTTAGACTGGCACTATCCAATAGACATACAATGTGTACCACTCATATAATTTTAAATTTTCTGGTAGCCACGTTGAAAAACATGAAAAAAAAAAGCAAAATTGATTTTTAATAATATATTTAACCTAAAGTACTCCAATATTATCATTCGACGTAGAATCAGAGATAGTTTATGTTCTTTTTTATTAAAATCTTGTGTGTGTTTTACAATTGCAGCACATTTCAATTTGGACACTAAATTTTCATCAGAAATACTTGTCCATATTTAGATTGCATTAAAAATTAGCGATTATAAAACAGATTTGCATACCCAAGTTGTTCCAAATACTTTCTAACTGAATCAAGTACCTATTTTTAAATTTTAATGAATTAAAATTGAGTGAAATTTAAAATTGAGTTCCTCAGCCACGTTTCAAATGCTCAGTAGCTAAAACGTCTAGTGGCTGCTGTATCAGAGCACAGACCTGGACACCTAAGCCAAGTGACCAGGGTGGGGCCCTCGGGGTCTCTGATTCACAGGTGCGTTAAAGTGGCTCCTCAGTCTCTTTAATGTTGTGCGCTCCTGAAAGGAGCTACTAAATTCCAAGGTGGAAGGAACTCCCCCTCCTTTCTTACGTCAGCCTGCGGCTTGGC